GGCGCACAGTCAGGCCGCCACTCACGTGCAGACACACAGAGGACAGTCACAGGCCACGCTCAGGCTCTGCTTCGAGCACCTGGGATCACAGAGACCCCCAGGCAGGCGAGGGAAAGCTGGGAGATGCTGGAGGGGGTGACTCTGGAGAGCACTGGGCCCCTTCCTGGCTATTCCCTGGGCTGCCTGCCCCCGCCCCCAGCTCTCTACGGGGTGAGGACCCGGCCCAGTCACCTTCCCAGGAGCCTCGGCTTCCCAGCTCTGGGGCCTGGAAGGGGCCCTGGCCTCCACGTCCTCCAGGCTCTGACTGAAGGGGCTGCGCCTGCTCGCTTGCTGGACGGCCCCCCACGCTGCTGCCTCTGTGTCGGTCCAGCCCTGTGGGAGGGAGAGTGACCATGGTGAGGGGCCGGTGTGCAGCTCTGCTCCTGCCCTGGCACCCTGGCCCTCCTCACTGGGGCCGTTCAGTGCAGGAGGGCCCATGACCCCCTGTAGGGCTGCTGGTCACAAGTCCCCGCACACTGAGTGCATGTGCCAGTGTGTGTGTGTGCACGTGCGCGCCTGCATGGGCACCTTACTCAGCACATAGGTGCTGGTATGTTTGGAGGGTGGTGGTCTTCATGAGGTCTAGACCTCTGTGTGCAGATTAGACTCGCTGCTCACAGTCACTATGGTGGTTCAGGGCAAGGACCCCTGATAGCTTCCTCAGTCCCTCCCCTGAAACCCTCGGGCACGGCTGCAGGGGCAGGTCCCCAGCTGGCACCAGCAGTGGCTCTGGGTGGGCCTACAGAGGGCCTATGGGCCTGCACGTGGCCGAGGTGCAGGGAGCTCTCCTGGGGACCTCACAGACCCAGGCGCAGTGGAGCGCTGACAGGCAGGAGGCTCCCAGGGCCAGTACCAGCAGTGGGGTCAGCACCACCATGGCACGCCCACTGTCCCTTGCCAGTGTTGGCCACGAGCACGCTTGTCCTTTCAGGGAGGACGCGAGGCCTGGGAGCAGGAAGGACCCGTGCTAGCTCTCATGGTGAGGCCTGGGCCCAAGCTGCCAAGTGGCCTGCAACTCGGAACCAGTGCCTGCTGCTGCGCCCAGGGGCTCCTTGAGGCTCCCGGGAGGGGCTAAGGCTAAGGGAAAGGAGCCTGAGTGTCCATGGCCTTGTCTCTCCGGGGGCCCATCGAGGACCAGAGATGTTCCTCTTTTCTGCCTGTGACTCTGAGGACAGTGCCAGCACAGAGAAAGAACGGGCCACGTGCCCTGGCCCTACTGCTGGGCAGCCTCGGGCCAGCCCGTCCCTCTGCCCTGTGCTCCCACCCGTCAGGGAGGATGCTGCCCCAAGGGCCACAGGGAGGTTGGGGGCAGTCCTTGGGGCAGTTGCCAACGTCTCACAGGCAAGCCCTCCAGGGCTGGGCCCCTCCCAGCGCTCCGGGGCGGGCCAAGGAGGCATGGTGAGGTGCAGGGGCAGGGCCCAGCGTCCTTACCACTTCACTCTCAGAGCCCAGGGACGCCTGGCGCCTCCGCGCGGAGATCCAGCTGAGGTCGGAGGCCTGGCTGCTCAGCGTGGAGTGGTGGGTGGAGCGGTAGCTGAGGTAGGGACGACGGTGCTGGCCCGACACACCCAGCAGCACCCCCAGACAGGGCAGGTGCTGGGCAATGGCCACCCTGCAGGGGCCGCATGTCCGGTTAGGGTGAAGGGACAGGCAGACAGACACGGGGTGCGGCGGGGAGGGCTGGGCAGACTGACACATGGTAATGCAGGAAGGTGGACGGCCCCTGGGGACGTAGGGAGGGCTGGACGTCGGGGTTATGAAGACAGACACCGGGAGGACAGACACACAGACCCTCAGTGGAAAAGACTGATAGCCGACAGGGCTGTAGGGCATGGACAGATGGGCGCTGGGGCAGTGGGCACGGAGTAGTGGGCTCAGCCCTATGCCCGCAGTGGCTGGCCCACGCCGCGCCTCTAGGAACAGCAGCAGGGACACTCCTGAGCAGCCCGAGCTGGCCAGGCTCAGGCCTGCAGCTGTCCTCGTGGGGTGGCGAGTGACTGACACCACCAGGCAGCGGGCACCGGGAGGGGCAGCATTGTGCTTATCAGCAAAGCACGCTGGCACAGAACCAGCCCCTGCCAGGGCCTAAGAAGCAGAGACAGCGCCCCCTGCTGGGAAAGTCCAGAATGTCACTGTCTGGGGGGGCCATGTTTGCAAGGGGCAGTTCTGCTAATCAGCTCTCCTGGGTGCCTAAGACCCCACAGCTAGGACTGGGCCCTGCCCAGAGAGCCCTGCTGTCCCTCCAAGCCTAGCCCCAACTCCATCCCCCTCCCCCCAGAGTCACTGGCTGCTCCCAGGGTCACACCAACTCCATCCCCCCTCCCCAGAGTCACTGGCTGCTCCCAGCCTCACCACCTCCATCCCTCTCCCCCCAGTCACTGGCTGCTCCCAGCATCACACCAACTCCATCCCCCTGCCCCAGTCACTGGCTGCTCCCAGCATCACACCAACTCCATCCCCCTGCCCCAGTCACTGGCTGCTCCCCGCATCACACCAACCCCATCCCCCTGCCCCACTCAAAGGGGCAGGCCCCGTGCAGACGCCACGTGGCCCCGGCCTGCGGGAGGGCCGCACCTGTACTTGGGGTGAGTGATGGCATAAATGATGGGGTTGTGGATGGCGGAGGCCTTGGCAATGACAGCGGGCACGGAGCTCATGTAGGGTGTCAGGACGTGGGCGTACCTGGGACAGAGAAGGGCAGTCCCTGTCAGCCGGCCCTCCCCGAGGGACCCTCTTCCTCTGTGCGGGGCCCTGATGCGCTCATCCCTGGCAATGCCAGGGAGAACTGATCTGAGTGAGTGGGGAGCGCTGGGTGGGGGTGCTGCCCGGGAGGAAGCTGGTCTGGCTGGGGTCATGTTGCCAGGGCCGTCTGCCCCTTGGAGGCTGTGCTGCAGGGGATACCTTCTCCTGCCCCCCCGACCCTGGCCCTCGAACCCCTCCATAGCTCTTCCCACACCTGCCACCCGCCTGAATCTCTTAGTGAAGCTTCACGGCAGGTCCAGCGAGGGGACCAGACTGCTCCCGCACCAGCGGAAGGTCTGGACACAGACACTGCAGGGGCCTGATCGCTCCCACGTCTCTGGGGTGCTGCTGAAGCTAGCTCCAGGCTCTGGTGCAGCTCTAATGCCCCAGCGGCAGCCATGAAGGACTAGGGGCAGCTCGGGGTTCTGTTCCTGGGTGAGCAGCACCCCTCTGTGCCCACAGCCCAGGCAAAGAGGGAGCCAGAACCCCAGGGACAGCTGCCTGTCCCCAAGGGACCTGGCAGGCCCCCAGCCATGGCCATGGCCAAGAGCGCCCCAACACGTGTCCTGGTCCGGGGGTCCAGGAACCGGGCAGGCCCCCGTGGTGGGACATCGCACACAGGGAGAGCTAGAGCTGGAGGCCAGACTTGGGGTGTGAGGAAGGGGCGGGCGGGCTGGAGGGGGGCCTCCCAGGGTTCCCACCCCTCCCCCACCGTGGAGCCCTGGCCAGCCCGTTGGCCACTTGCTCACCCAGCAAAGGCCACCAGGGCCACCGTGGAGTAGGGGGCCCAGGAGAGCACGAAGAGGAGGATGACCAGCAGCGCGATCTTGGCCATCTTCCACTCGCTCTGAAGCCGCTGCCGCTGCCGCTGCCCGGGGGATGCAGCGCCTCCCTCGCAGGCCCTAGGACAGGCGGCTCACAGCCTGCGTCTGACCCCACTCAGGTGAAGTGAGGCCAGGGTCAGACTGCTCTGGGCGCTCCCCGGGCCACCCCTGGGCACTCAGGTGCCTTCCCGGGCCCTTGGCTGCACCTAAAACCCTCCGGAGAAGACCTGGTCCCCCAAGACGTCCCCGGGCACCTCGCCCATAGGCACACGTGTCAGCTCGTCTTCCCCACCCAGAGCGCGGGGCGCCCTCGCAGGTGCGAGCCACACCAGTCAGGGCAGGGGAGGCCGCCCCCACAGTCCCTCACCGGCCGGTCTCTCGGATGGCCCTGAAGATGAAGACGTAGCAGTAGACGATGACCAGCAGCGGCAGGAAGAACACGAAGCAGCACAGCAGCATGGTGTAGGCACGCACCGAGGGCGTGAAGGTCACGTAGTCCCAGGAGCAGGATGTCAGCAGCCCTTCCGGCACATAGGCGCCTGCACGGGGCACACACTCAGCCTTGGGGGCAGCACCGATCGGGGCGTCGCAGGTGGGACTCGAGGTCCCTGCACACAGCCCTGCCCAGTGCACGGAGGAAGCCCGGCAATTATGGGCAGTGCAGAGGGCGTCCCAATGGCATGGACGCTGGTTCAGATGGGGGACAGCCCCCAAGGCCTACTGCTGCTAGATTGGGACAGAGGCCTCCCAAGGCCAGGGTTGTGCTCCGCAAGGCTTTGGCTGTGGTCAGGTCCACCTAAAAGGCTGGGCGGATTGTTCCTACCCAGCTTCCACAGGCAGACCGGCCAGCCCACACCTGCTGAGGCCCGCGCCCTGGCGCCCAGCTGACCTGCGCACTCTGCTGCACGCACACAGCCGCCTACCCCACCCGGGGGCCCTCCGCGTCGG